TTTTAGTATGCAAATTATAGACTTTATTTTGAAACATTTCAACTCATTATAATTTAAAGCTATAAGCAACAATTACAATAAAACAGGTAATATCTTATACTACATAAAAAACATTGTATGGTAGTTAAACTTACTTAAGATAACATAAGTTTTTATTCTAAATACATTATTGGAATGTTTTCTATATTATAGTTAAATAAACATTCTCCTACATTTGCTGCAGAAGCTACTTTAACTTTTGGAGTTATCACATTTCTAATATTTAAACTTGAAAAATTCACTTCTGACAATGCATTGCGTACAGGAGGAATATTTAAATTTTGATTTAAACTTGAAAAATTTACTTCTGACAATGCATTGTTTACAGGAGGAATATTTAAATTTTGATTTGGTGATTCAGCAATAACTGCTTGCTGCTTAACGCTATTAATACTTTCTTTTTCTTTGATATTTCTTAGTTTTATTGATTTGACTAGTCCTGTCTTTTTTCGTTTTATCACATCTTTCCTCGCTGTTTGTTTTTTAATACTGATGAGATTATCTCTATACTCATCACTTATTATTATTGCTGCTTGTCCTTTCTTTCTTTTTTTCGGAAGATTTTCATTAGTTTTTAATAGTTGTTTTTCTAGTACTTCTTGCGACATGTTGACTGAATTGACCATAGGTGAAGCTAAATTTAAATTCTCTGTCCCATCTATTTCAGTCTCAATAGGCACCAAAGGACTCTGAAATAGAATTATACTTATAATTTATCTAATCCTAAAAAATAGTGTGATAATAAAAGTGAATTATTAATCATTCTCACCAAACATTTTATTAATAACTGTGCACTTTCCACAATTACTGTGGCGTTTTGAGTTAAAACAAGTAGATTTGGATCTGTTGGTACTTGAATTTTTGGTTGATCACTTACTTGTGCTATCATTTGTTGATCAATATTTACAGTACCAGAACTAACAATTTTTTGTGGCTCAGTGATCTCCTTTATCAAATTGGTACACTTGCTCAGTTCATTTTGATCTACACTCGGCAACAAAATTATCGCAACAAAAAAATTCATCGAAATTTTGTCGATTTTCAAATGCTTCTATCTTGGGCTACATTTATCGTATCGACACGCTTTTTTTTTTAATTTCTTGGAAATTTTTTTTTCTTTAAATCCATATAAATTAAGATAAGATTTGAGTTAATATTGAGTTACCAGTAGTATTTGAGCGTGACCCTGAAAATTAATGAAAAAAAATGACTGTTTGAACGTGTACCAGTACTACAGTGATTTTTTTATCGAAATCTTACATACACCATCGCAAAGTGCTCTTTTCAACGAGTAATTTAAAAAAAAAAGACCTCTCTACGATTTTTTTAACGCCCTGTAGGTCGATTTGAAGGTACGGTTTATGTACGCAAAATGCCCAGAAAATCGTCTTGATTTCAGCTAAACGGGGGATTTTACGTACTTTAAATGGTATCTTCAAAACGACCTACAGAGAGTTCAAAAAATCGTAGAGAGGTCTTTTTTTTTTTTAAATTACTCGTTGAAAAGAGCACTTTGCGATGGTGTATGTAAGATTTCGATAAAAAAATCACTGTAGTACTGGTACACGTTCAAACAGTCATTTTTTTTCATTAATTTTCAGGGTCACGCTCAAATACTACTGGTAACTCAACATTAACTCAAATCTTATCTTTATTTATATGGATTTAAAGAGGACAAAATTTCCAAGAAATTAAAAAAAAAAAGCGTGTCGATACGATAAATGTAGCCCAAGATAGAAGCATTTGAAAATCGACAAAATTTCGATGAATTTTTTTGTTGCGATAATTTTGTTGCCGAGTGTATAATGACAGAAATAAAATTATAATTAAGTTAATATTGATAGTCAAGTGGAGGAAAATTTTTACCTAAATCTGGTCTGTTTATTTTGGGCTCAGTAGTTAGATCAGTAGCAAATTCTTCTTCACTCCAAGCGTCCCTGTTCTTTGGAACAAGACCACATTTTTCGAACGAGTTTATAGCTGTTTCTATCTTGGCAGCTTTGAGGAAAGCTTTACCAAATAAGCCAAATACCTTACGTAAATTCACAGGATTCTTTTGACGATGTTCACTTTCTATAATTTGAGTATAATAGGTACTCAGTGGATTCATAAATCCCACGTCCAAGGGTTGCATTTTGTGGGTGCAATGCGGTGGAAAGCACAAAATCTCAATATTGTTATCTCTTGCTAACTCAATCACATCAATGTTTATGACATGCGAAGAGTGACCATCCAAAAATAATAATACTGGGTTTTCTACTGATGGTTTAGAAAATTCTATAAATTTTTTGAACCATTCAATAAAAATGTCATGCTGTATCCATCCAGTGTGGTGGAATTTAGCCCAGGCTCCTGACGGTGCATTTTCAAGGAATTCTGGATTCACTTTAACCCGTGGAAATATTAATAAAGGTGTCATAAATGCCCCAGTAGCTGACATACAAATTTCAGCGGTGACAGTTTCACCACGTTCAGCAGCTGACCACCCACCAACTTGTCTTGCTCCAGTAGCAGCAATGACACGAGAACGAGACTTGGGCACAACAGTTAGGAGAAAAAAATTTTTCTACATTTTTTGAGGCTCCGTAGCGCCTTAAAAAAATTATTCCCGTGAAAAAAAGCGGGTTTTCAGCTCTAGGCTGAATGGACATGAATGAAAAATTCTGAAAAAATTCAAGGAATCGTTTTTTGACGTCAGAATTCCAAAAAAAAATACTCCGGTCTGGTACATCGAACCATTTCACCGAAAATAAAATAATTTAAATTTTCAGTGATTTTTTCTGAAGGCCTGAAGCACTCGAAAAATCTGAAAAAATTCAAGATTGTTTGGATTGTTGAAAAGTACCTTCATGAATTTTTTCAAATTCTTTAATAGCTTCAGGCCTTCAGAAAAAATATAGATAGAAAATGGACGTCTATAGGGGAGGAGGGGGGTAGGTGGGGGAAGGGGGTCCAAAATTTTGGTTTTGGCACTTTTTTATCATGTACTATAACATACCAAAATTTCAGGAAAATTCGTGAACCTCGCCCGCAGGTTTATTTGAAAAATTCTGAATCGGACCCATATGTATTGCAACGTATTTACTCTTACAAGACTACTCACGAGTGCTCGTACACGCAGACACGCTCGTTCCTAGGCGAGCGCACCGTGGATCTCTCTCTCTCTCTCTCTCTCTCTCTCTACTTCGTTTGAGTAGCTTACCTTTTACGCGACTATGTGTCGTCGCGGAGTACTCCCTTGTGCGTATACTGCTTGTCTGAGTCGCGTAGGGGTTTTTAGATTGATGTTAATTAGGGGTTTTTGCGACGAGTCACTGGACATGTGAAAGGTGCATTTTCTATGTAATTGGTTAGGTAAATATTCGTTGTTTATTTAACATCGCGTCAAAGGGGAAATTTACATAGTCAATGATCAAACAACTATACTTTACAATTTATCTCAATCTTCTGTGCTGCCGATGTCGAACCTGCTGTCTTCTCCGCTACTGGTGACGTTGTCGGCGGCGGCGGTTGAGTCGTGGGTCGAGTTGGAACACACTAATTGCACTGTTGCAAAAATAAAAAGAAATAACGGAACTCACTATTTGCAATAAAGAATTTAACACTGCACTAAAAAATCGGACCCTTCACTGTTTGTGGTAAGGCTACCGATTGAGTCCACCCAGTAAGGATGACCTCTGCCTGCACGCCTACCTCGTGTGTGGAACACAATAAGGCGACGCGCCTTGGCATGTACTCGTATATAAAAGACCGGACTCTTCGCTGGGCGATAGAGCTTGCGGTCGAGTCTTACCTGTACAGGTAAGCCTCCGTCAGCACGACTACCACGTGAGTGGCGACGTGCTTAGACGTTGCGGGTACGAGTGGCCTGCTAACTTAAAAATTGGCTGATGCCGCGTTAGACCTGGGCCTGGTTTAGAAAAACTAGTAAATTGTGACAATAAGTGCTTAGTGGTCTTTGCACGCGCCTTTTACAGGTCGCGGTGAACTCTCCCACCTACCCGGGTCCTGCCTCGCTAATTGGGTCACTTCGCCGCAGTTTTCCTATGCAAATTAGGAGAGAGAGAGAGAGAGAGAGAGAGAGAGAGAGAGAGAGAGAGAGAGAGAGAGAGAAAGAGAAACTCTTCCCACTCAGGTGGACTTTCGGCGCTGCGCCAAGCGCCGTCGCACAAGTACACGTGTATCTTGTCCTCTGGGGCATCGGTGGGGCATTACGCGCGCTCGATTGGTCCTCGCTCTCCTTCGCTCGTCGTCATCGACTTGCTCAGACCTCCCCTGTGGTCACGAGTTTGTCGGTAAGGCTGCTCGCCAGTGCTCCGAGCGAGTAGTACCGTTGCAGTATAGACGTTGTATCACGTGATCGAGTTGCACAGCCAGAGCAAACGCAGTTTAAGCAAGCGTGAGAGAGACAAAAATACACGTCGCTGCAAAGTCGTTACCCAGTCACGGACGTCGATCAGTGCTACTTACCGCAGCAGCCGAATTATTTGATACATATGGGGGCCCGTCAATTCCGTACGCTCTTCGGAAAAATCCGGTGCGACTTATGGAATCGTTCGTTACTTGCTGTGCCGGGAATAAAAGAGTGGCGCTACTCGAAGTACACGTTACGACACGCGGTATAGTTCCTCGTTGCTGTCATTGGAAGTATACCGTGGACATCTGTGGTAGAATGTAACCCTGTTATTTCTCTCCGAGCAGTTTAATCCAAACGACTTAACAATCTACTGATGATTAAATTAAGATAAAGTAATTGCTATTCAAATAAATTCAGTCAAGTCGTAATAACTGGATTTACTTGATTTGATTGATAATTATTGATTTTAGAAATAAATTTGACATTGTTTCCATACACAGATTTTTACAAACTAAATGTTCATAACTTCATTATATAGAAATTCAATGCTTAAATATGTAAATTATATCTGGCTAAAATTGCTGACACACAATTCATGTTTCAGGAGTTGCGGTTGCAGCTTCAGTTTTCACCATTACTGCAATGAGTATTGACCGATATTTTGCCATAAGGAGTCCTATTGTTTTTAGAAGAGTTTTCAATCGTAAAAGTATAATAATTGTTATTATAACTCTTTGGATCATCGCCATGGCTATATTTGTTCCGATGTTCAAAATGGTTTGTAAACAATATAAGAACTTTTAAAAAACTTTACAGTCGGGTTTTTAATCAAAATTTTGGAGATTTTTCCTCTGGTAGTATTCAAAACTCAAAATAGTATATGAGGTGCCTAAGGCGCGAAAACTAGAAAGTCTCAGAGCATGCGTGTTTATCAACCTCGGCTTCACCTCGGCCGATAGTTACGGATGTTATGAGGGTTCCTTTTTTGCTTCATAGGTGTGTATACTATTTTTCATGAATCCTCCAGCAGAAATTAACTTTTTCGTTTTGGCCGCTGGGACGAAAAAAGTTAGTTTTGGCTAGGGTATCATGAAAATGGTAATTTTCATGCCACCCTGGGACCCGAGAGTTGTGCCGCGAAACATCAGCTGCCATTTTAATCGCCTGTTGCTTGGCCGGCAACATCAAGACACGCCTAGTTGCATCACACATTTTTGCGACGCGACGTCGTCGCTTTGCCGCAGTTCAACGGCTCTTTCCAACATCGAAGTGTGGATCGGCTCCAGCTTTTTCCGACTTCGGAGCGGCAATCGCTCAACGAGAGTTTCGTCGTCGCGGCATTGTTGCCGCCATTTTCATCGAACATTGGCTCGGCGTTTTTGCGGCGCGCGAACGGCTACCAGGTCACATCCCGCGTTTTTGTGACGCGGCGCCCGCCATCTTGCCTCGACTTCCGTTTTCCGGCAGCATCAGTAGCCAGCGAGCAGCACAGCAACGGTGTAACGGCTCAGCAGCGTAGCAACGGCAACAGCGCGGCAGCATCACAGCAGCACGGCAGTGGCGTGCGAATCAGACGTCGCGAATCTCAACCGTCTCTCAGCGGCAGCAAGCCTGCTGTCTCTCCTTGCTTCACGTGCGCCGAGCAACATAACCAAGCCTGTCAGAGGCTGCGTAGCAGACTACACTCATCGCTTCGATTCGACGACAAGGTACTTGTGGATTTTTGATTGCATGCTCACATTGAGCCAATATAAAGAGTAATGAGATTGAATATTTTACCCATCCCACACACAATTGTGACGCCGTAGCGTCTGATGAGTCATTGTAGATTCGCAAACATGCGTCGTTCGGATTTGTTATTGTAAGGGATTCGATGTTTAGCAAACATCGTTGAGCGTACCGCTCCCGCGTTTACGCGAGAAAGTAAAGCTGTGAATTCGTGATTTCGCGTTTCTGTTTATATAAAACAAAATAATAAAAAAACATTACCCTGGCTCCCTCGCATTAACTGGTGCAGGTGACTGAGGGCGTATAGTGCAGTGAAAGTCTCTCGTAGAAGACCGTCAGGACTTTGTACGCGCCATCATGGCCGGGCTTCAACCGCCCGGATCGACGACAGAGGCTGCCAATCAAAAGAAACAGCCGAAGCTGTCATACTCTGAAATGACTCAGCATTTCAGATACCCAACGAAAGAAGAAGCCATTATTATTAACTCTATAAACGGTATATCGATACATTCATATACAATTGCCGTCGGTTCGATTGTTCAACCCAAGAACGTGAAATTTGTGTCGCGTATATCACTAAACCGAGTGTGTATCTACCTTTCCGATAAGGCATTGGTACAGAATCTTTCGGGCCGGGAAATCGTAGTTGAAGGGCACAAGCTCTCAATACGACCATTAGTCAACCACACTAGGCGGATGCTAATTTCCAACGTTTGTCCGACTATCCCCAACGAGCTAATCATACAAGAGCTTAACAAATTGAGAGTAGAACCAGCTTCACAAATCACATTTGTGCGCTCGGGTCTGAAAAATCACGGGTACGAAAACGTATTCTGCTTCAGAAGGCAGGTCTACATAAGATCGAAAGACATTCAGCTGATACCACCCAAGGTAGAAATCAAGCATGATGGGGCGACATACTCACTATACTTCTCGACGGAGAAGCTTACGTGCTTCTTGTGTAGAGAAGAGGGGCATATCGCGAGGTACTGTAAGAACACCGAGGAGCCACCTGCCAGTCAAAACGAAGAGGTCATGCAGGAACCCACAGTATCTAGTAAAGGACCTGCAGCACAAACTGCACCTGTTTCACCAAAGCTAAAGCCAACGTTTACAACCATGCCCAGTGAGGACAAATCTCAGTCACTTATGAGTGAAGCTCTTGCTGCCTCGACATCGAGGAAAAGGCAAAATTCTTCGCCGTCACCTACTATAATTAGACCTCAAACACAGTTGATTCAGACTTCCAAATTGTATTCTGTGTTCTCACAGAAGCAAACTTCGGAGCCAGCAAACAAACGCTCTAAACACACAGAGCTCCACCCTTCTTTAGAAGAAATACAAGGAAATCTAGAGTCTGCCAAAAATTACATAGAAACGAATATTGATCAGTACCCTATAAACTTCAACTCACTCTCGGAGCTACTGTATCAAACACACGGATCCAGCAATGTCTACGCAGTGATCAAGAGCTTTACCACGGACTGGGAAGCACTGTCTACGATGCTGAGGGATACAAAGAAACTGATTTCTTGTGCAAATCTCAAACAAAGAATTACTAGAATTTTGAAGAAGCTCTCCGATCAAGACGCGGTCGACAAAGAGAACAATAGCGATACTCTATCACAGTAACACACATATGCGAACGCAAACAACAAAATGTAACTAACATTTACTCCTCACAAGCTCAGGATAATCTTCTGGAACGTCAGAAGCGTCATTCATAAGTTCTCAGAATTAAAGAAAGCAGCCTCAGAATTCGATGTAATTGCTTGCGTCGAGACCTGGCTGACTGCGAGACAGCGCTTGGACATACCCAACTTTCGCACCGTGAGAAGGGACCGAGACTCGAGAGGAGGAGAAGTAGCGATATGGATCCGAAAAGATATTGCCTTCGACAATATACACTTCGGTCTACAGACCAAGATAGCGGAAATTTGTGGCGTGCGCCTCACCGACTGTAAGCCGAGGCTGGACATCATAGCCTGCTACAGACCACACTCTGGCTCAACGGCACAAGAAGATTGGGACGAGGTGATTCGATGCGTCAATGCTAACAATGCAACTGTACTTATGGGAGACTTCAATGCTCACAACGCGTGCTGGAATTGTGAACACACAGACACCAACGGCCAGTTTTTGGAGCATGCATATACGGCCCACGGTTTAGTTTTGCATAATTTCGACACAACCACTTACGCAGATCTGCGAAGGAACTACGCGTCGTAGTCTCGTTCGCGGAGAGCTTGGACTGTCGCACAGGATCGGCCTATGTGTGGAAAAAATGCAGAATATTTAAAAACAAGTGGATTGATGTCGATCCAAATCAAAAGTACGTCGGCAGCAGCAACGAAAGACTGCGTCAGGCGGCCATAAATAAACTATGTCCCGCCTGGGCACACACGGACCCTGGATACATGCCTCCCTGCAAGGACAACGACTTCCTAAAGGACGGCTTCTCTTTCGTAGAGCTAAACATCGCTCTAGAGGACAAGAATGAAAAATCTGCCCCTGGGCTCGACGGGGTGGGCTTTGACACCATCAAGAGGCTCCCCATTAAGTTCAAACTCATATTGCTCGACATTTACAATGAAATGTACGCGCAAGAAACTTATCCAGAGGCATGGAAGGATGTTTTTGTATTTTTCATTGCGAAACCTGGAGGCAGGGGACTGAGACCCGTGTGTCTCACATCGTGCTTCTGCAAGCTCTTTGAGTCTATGCTGAAAACCCGACTGCAGTGGTGGGCAGAGGTGGAGGAATGGATTCCGAAGGATCAGCACGGCTTCAGGCGAGGCCACTCTTGTGTGGACAACTTGACCGGCCTTTTTCTAACGGTGGAGAGCGCTTTTCTCGAGTCCAAGGAGGTACTCACGGCGTTCCTCGACGTGGAGGGAGCGTTTGACAACGTGGACGTCAACATCTTACTAGACAGGCTGGCGGCATTGGGCTGCACGCGTGAAATTATTAAATTTGTAAAGTTTGCTACTTACGAGCGCTTCATTTATACAGAAGGTGAGCTATCTTGCTTGCGGCTGGGCAGAGGCGTGGCTCAAGGCGCGGTGCTCAGTCCACTGCTATACTCGCTGGACGCCGCCTCGATAACCAGTGGTTTGGGGCCGGAAATTCGCACTTCTCAATTTGCGGACGACGTGTCCATCTCTGTTGAGACGAGCGATGCGGAAAACGGGGCTGCCGCTCTCGAAGACGCGATAAAAGTAATGGAAAAAAACCTAGCGGACATTGGACTGAACGTATCCCTCCACAAATCCAAATTAATTCACTTCAATAAAAAGAAGATCCAACCGGGAAGTCAGAGGATTAAAATCCAGGGACACGAGATCTCCTCCTGCAGCCATACTAAATTTCTAGGATTAATTTTCGACTTCGAGTTGTCTTTCAGAGAGCACATCACTCAGGTTAAAAAAAAGTGTACCTCTGCCATGAACATAATGAAGTTTTTGTGTGGCACATACTGGGGATCACACCCGGACACATTGCTAATTTTGTTTAAGAGCTACATCCGCTCTATTATGGACTACGGAAGCTTCATCTACCTTCCAAAGGACAAACAAGGATAATTAAAGCTCGAGAGAATCCAATTTGCCGCCATCAGGTGCGCTCTAGGCTATCGAACGAGCACGCCCACAAATAAACTGCTTGCTGAGGCAAAAATCTCCTGCTTCGAGGAGCGAATTGAGATGCTGGGCAAGGCATACATCGCCAAAGCCCTCAGCAATTGCAATTTCGAAATAACCGAGAAAATTGTAGATTTCTACACAAGACACGGAGGAAGCCGCCTTCCGAGGAGAAGCTTTTTCAACTGCATTGCAGCGGTCTGCAACGTAGGGGCTCGTATTCACGCGGGCAAACGCTTCAACCCATACAACTATAGTTACGGCGCCTTGACCTTCCGAGCTCCTGTTAACACGACTCTGGGTTTCGACATCGGGAGATCGCCGGACCCAGATCGAGCGCTGAGCGAGCACTTGAGATCAGAGAGTGCGATGCCCATTTTCACTGATGGCAGTAAGATCAAAGATGCGACA